ATTGTTTCCCTTTACTTTTTTTTTTTTTTAAAAAATTTTTTTGGGGCCGGCCGGGGGGCGCACTGGGGAGTGCGCCACTTGGGAGCGCGGTGGCGCTTCCGCCGAAGGTTCGGATCCCATGTGGAGACCAGTTCCCGCTCACTGGCTGAGCGAGGTGCGGGTGCAACACCGAGGGTTGCGATCCCGTTGCCGGTCCCCGGTACGGGCGTGACACCGAGGGTTGCGATCCCGTTACCGGTCAGTAAAAAAAGACAAAAAGGAAAAAAAAATTATTTTAACTATTCCAGTTCCTTTTTCTTTCCATAGGAAAGGAATAAGCTTGTCTATTTCTACGAAAATCTTGCTGAGATTTTGAAAGGAATTGTATCAAACCTGTTAATCAATTTGGTGAATTAACAGCTTTGCTACATTGAGTTTCTAATCCACAAACATAGTATAGTTGATCCTCCATATCTGCGGATTTAACCAACCATGGACCGAAAATATTGGGGAAAAAAAAAAACTAAAAAAAAACCCAGTAAAAAATAACACGAATAAAAATACAATATAACAACTGTTTACAAACTTTACATTTTATTAGATATTACAAAAATCTAGAGATGATTTAAAGTATACGAAAGGATATGTGTGGGTTATATGCAAATACTATGCCATTTTGTGTAAGGGACTTGATCATCCTTGGATTTAGATATCCAAGGGGGACAGGGGGAGGGGGTTCCTGGAACTAATCCCCTGGGGATACCCAGGGATAATTGTATGACTCTTCATTTATTTACATCTTTGATTTATTTTATTAGTGTGTTATAGGTTTCATCAGATGAGTCCTGTACATATTTTGTTAAATTTATATTTATTTATTTAAATATTTCTCTCTTATTTTGAGAGAATTGTGTTTAATTAAATGAGAATTGTGTTTTTAATTTTGGTTTCCGTGCTTGGTATTAGCATATAGAATATAGAAATGTGATTTTTGTGTGTTGATCCCCTATCCTACAACCTTGCTGAACTCACTGATTAGTTCTAGCAGTGTTATTATAGATTCATTGAGATTTTCTACATGGATAGTCCTATCTAAAGATAGGCAGTTTTATTTTTTCCTTTCAAATCCATGTGCCTTTTCTTACTTTGTTGTGCTGGTTAGAGTGTTGAGTACTATGTTGAATAAGAGGGGTGAGAGCAGAAATCCTCACCTTGTTCCTGATCTTATGGAACATTCAGTGCTCAGAATATTAAGCATTCAGTGTTCACCATTAAGTATAATGTTAACTGTAGGGTTTTTTGGCAGATGCTGTTTATCAAGTTGAGGAAATTCTCTTCCTGGTTTTCTTAGAGATTTTTATCATGAATAGATGTCAAATTTTGTCAAATGCTTCTGCTGCATCAATTAATGATATTTCATTTTAGTCTGTCATTGATTGATTTATTTTCTAATATTGAACCAGCCTTGCATACCTGAATAAGCTCCACTTGGATTCAGTTTGCTAATATTTTGTTGAGGATTTTTGTATCTATGTTCATGTCCTGGAAAACGTTATCGTAAGACCATTTTACTTAGAAGCAGCCATAATGGCTCTAGAAAGCCATAAAATAACCTAGAACACTTCTTATTACCCTTGATCTCTGAATGTAGTCTGTAACCTAGTAATAATCCCAAATGTATATGTCATGTACGACCAATAGAAAGCCTGATGAAGTATTTAGACAAGGCTTTCTTTCTCTCTCCTTTGACCCTTCCCCCTTCTTGTGATTATAAAATGTTAAGTTCTGCTGGCCCTCTTTAGAACACATTTTCAGGGTGACCTCATCTGTGTGTTTCCCCGGTTGCAGTAGTCATATTGGCTCAATAAATCCTTGCTATATGTATTTGGTCTTAGTTCCTTTTTAGGGCAACACACCCAATATTCATGTCAGAACTATACTTGTTTTTCAATTGAAACCATAGGTTGGCTATGAAGACAAGAATTCAGCAAAAACCAACATAGGCATTCTATGAGAATCAAATGCCTATATGGGATTTACTATAACGAGTATTGTATATTTCATTATTGTTTGTAAATTGTGTGCTACACAGCCTTTATATCACTAACAGTTTTAATAAACCTGTATATTTGTGTATATGTATACCTAGTTTTTTAGGTAGCTGGTGGATAAACATTTACCAGCACATCACTTCATGTTGCCCTATTACTCTCCTAGAAGGCTGTCTTGGTTTGCACTCTTATCAGTGGTGTATGAGAACTCCTTTTTTCTTGTACTAACACAAGATCCTGTCTTTCCTTATTTTATCTTTTGCCAACATGATGTGCAAAAAACAATGTAATCTCAATTTGCTTTTAGTATTTTTGGTGGCCATTTGTATTTCTCCCTTGGGGTATTGCCCATTTTTCTCTTTAGGAGTTCATGGTTTGTTTAAATTAATGGTTTGTATACACGTTTTGCCAACATGATGTGCAAAAAACAATGTAATCTCAATTTGCTTTTAGTATTTTTGGTGGTCATTTGTATTTCTCCCTTGGGGTATTGCCCATTTTTCTCTTTAGGAGTTCATGGTTTGTTTAAATTAATGGTTTGTATACACATTTTATATTAAAAGTTTAACCCATTGCTTGTCATATATTACAAATATTTTTTTCCAGTTATTTGTCTTTTGCTTTTGTAACAAGTTTCACTTTTTGCTATATAGAAATTTTAATAAATTTAAGATTTTTCAGTAGGATGAAATTTATCAGTTTTGTTGTTTATATAAAATATTTCTTTAAGAGAAACATGCTTTATTCCAAGATTATGAAAATATCCACTTATGTTTCTTAGTAGTATTAGAACTTGTGAGAATGTAGGCTCCATGAAAGAAGGGATCCTTGCCTGGCATATGGTGGGTGCTTAGCATACTTAGTGAATGAGTGAATTGAAAACTTTTGCAAATCTTCAATTTATTCAGTATGTATTATCTTCTCCATATGTAGCAATAGTTTGCTAGTAATTATATCACAGAAGATGTGACATGTTTGTTATTCCCTAAATGTTATGCAGAAAATATTTATGGAACTTGTACTGATGTAGAAACATATAAGTAGAAAACTATAGTTTTCAAGAGTTTTTTCTTATGGCTTTGGAGAAGGGGTGCTCCTGAGCAAATTTTTTAGCAGTGAATAATTGTCTAAATTTAAATGAAGTCATAGTCATTTCAAGACCTGACATAGTTACTTGGATAGCTATTTTTTTTCCTAATGTCTTCTGTTTTTCCAACAGTTTACTTTATCCAAATGCATAGATGCTGTGATGGTGCTGGGAAATTCCCATTTATTCATGAATCGTTGCAACAAACTTGCTGTGATAGCAAGTCACATTCAAGAAAGGTATGAGCATTATGATTACTCTTCCTGTTCAGTGCTTAACATTTGTAGGTTTTTCTGCCAATTGGCATGTACTGTTCCTACTCTACATTATGAAAGAAATGTTTTTCTGTACCCGTGAACAATAGCCATGGCTTGAAGAACAAGTACATGTACATTTTGATATGTATGAATATTGAAAATCTCATTAGTTGATATATGGTAGAGTTGCACAATGACACATTTAATTTACACAGATTGAATTATACTGTCTAGGCAAAAAAGTGAAAGAACTATCAAATTGGGCAGGCACTTCCCCTCACCTCTCTCCTCATTGTGTATCTGCCCCAGAGGGCAGGTGGGATGGGAGATGAGAGATGCGGTTCTGTTTTCCCTTCAGCCAGTCTTGGTAGAGTTGCTCTGGGTACCTCTCATGGTGTGACTATTTCACTGCTGTGTGTCTGATTCTGGTGTTTAGAAATAAGGATGTTTCTTTCTTTTTTTTTTTTTTTTCCTTTTTTGTCTTTTTTACTGACCGGTAACGGGATCGCAACCCTCGGTGTTGCGCCCGCACCGCGCTTAACCAGTGAGCGGAACCGGTCTCTCCACATGGGATCCGAACCCTTGGCGGGAGCGCTGCCGCACTCCCAAGCGGTGCACTCTCCAGTGCGCCACCGGGCCGGCCCAGGATGTTTCTTATAATATTGGCTTCTAAACCCAAGCTAACTACTCCATTTGGTGCTTGGCTGAAGAAACAGTAATCTTATGTAACATTGGTAAGGACTGGCTGCATTAGACTCACTGCAAGATGGTAGTGAGTAATTTTTTTCATGAGTAATTTTGACCATATTTGCTTGTCACATTATGCACTGACTGTAGAATCAAATCCCCATGTTCGTATAACTTCGTATAATGTATGCTATACGAAGTTATTACGATTCACGTGTTTGTGTATCACACTAATGCTCAAGCATTTTAAAGAAAATTACTACATGAATGGTAAATACTGCTATTTTACAAATGAGGAAGCTAAAGTGCAGAGAGAGAAGCTATGTATTTATAACTTGTCCAAGGTCACATAGCTAGCATGTTATAGAGCCTGAATCTAAGGTTATGTATCTCATATAATTCTAATAATGATCTTGAAATATGTATTTTATTATTATTCCCATCTTTGCATATGATAAATTTACTCTCAGAAAGAAAATGTTACTTGTCTATTTTGTGTGTGTGTGTGTGAAAAATGCAAGGATGTTGGAATACTTTAACTCTATGTATACCAACCGACTCTCACAGAAATGGAATGGTTGACATGTACATTAAATGCTTTCATATATTTTTGAATTTAAAAAGCTATTAAACTATTATGATGCTTAGCATTCAAACAAAAAAGTGCACAAACCATAAGTGCACAGCTCAGTAAATTTTCTCCAAGTGAACACATTCATCTAACTCATACCTGAATGAAAAATTATGACATTACAGCACTCTAGAAACCACCTGTATTAGTCCATTTCTGTTGCTTATAACAGAATACCTGAAACTGTGTAATATATAAAGAAAGGAAATGTATTTCTTGCAGTTTCAAATGCTGGGAAACCCACGGTCCAGGAGGTGCATTTGGTGAGGGCCTTTTTCTGGATGGCAATTGTAGAGCTAGGGCCAGGGTCTGGGGCTCATGGACCCCTCAAACCCATTCACAAACCCTTCACATGCAGGTTTATGAGCTAGGTAACTGGCAAAAAGGTCCTCGGAGCCGTGGCTAAAGTAGGAATAATCTTTTATTCAGCACACACACATCTAGGAGCTAGGCAGTACAAAGAGAAACTCAAAAACTCAACTGCTACAGGCAAAGTCCAAAGAAAACTGAGCAACTACCAGCAGAGTAAACATGATCTGTTTTTAGACTCGAGCTCTGCCAGCCAGCGCTGCTTAACAAACACTCTGAAGAACACACAACAGCAACAAACTAAAAACATACATTGGCATGCATGTGTACTCTACCCACACAGAACTTCTTTACAGGAAATGTGCTGCTTGACCCCCAAACAGACCTGAGCCAAGGGAGCCTGATGAAATTATCCTATTTTCCCCACAGCAATGCAGGGTATCACATGGTGAGAGATTGGCATGAGCAAGACAGCTAGCCTTCTCGCTTGCTCTTCTTATAAAGCCATCAGGACCATGACCATGACCAGCCATTAAACCATCAATTCATTACTCCATGAACACATCAATCCATTCAGGAGGGCACAGACCTCATGATCCAATAATCTCTTAAAGGGCCCCACCATCCACCACATTTCGGGGATTAAGTTCCAACATGAGCTTGGGAGGACGTTATAACCACAACATTACCCTTTTTTTTTTTTTTTTTTTTTGGACCTGTAAGGGGATTGCAACCCTTGGCTCAGTGTTGTCTGCACCACACTCAGCCAGTGAGCACACCGGTCATCCCTATAGAGGATCCGAACCCGCAACCTCAGCGCTATCACTGCTGCACTCTCCCGAGTGAGCCACAGGGCTGGTCCACCACAATATCACCTTCTTGCCTCCTTCTCTGGATTACTCCCCCATTCCTCCTCAATGTTAAGCACTGTTTTAATTTCTAACTCCATAGATTATTTTTGCCTGTTTTTGAACTTTAGATAAGTGGTATAAGGCACTATATGCTTTTTATGTTTGGCTTCATTTGCTCAACATTGTGTTTGTGGAACCTTCCATATTGTTACCTGCACTTTATGTTAATTAAATTTCTCTGCTGTGTAGTATTTCATATCATCAATATACAGCAATGTATCAATTTAAATTGTTGATGAACACGTGGGTGTCTTCATTTAGGGTCTATTGCAAATACTGCTGCTGTGAACATTATTGCACAAGTATTTTGGTACTGTACGTGAATGAGTATTCTGTATTTTTATTTCCTAAATCTTGCAACTTTCTCCATGGTGATTAAACTAATTAATACTCTCACATCGGAATATGAAAGTTTAGATTGCACACCAGTCTCATCAATGTTTAATCTTGTCTGTCTTTTTTATTTTAGTCTTCTCATTGTTGGTTATTTAAGTGATATTGCAGTTTTAATTTGCATCTTATGAATGACTGATGAAGTTGGGCATCCTCATATGTTTATTAGTTGTGTGAAAGTGCTTGTTCATGTCTTTTGCCTATAGGTCATTTGCCTTTACATTGTTGATTTTTATGAGTACTTTAAATATTTTGGATACACACCCTTTTTTAAATATATGTATTTCAAATAACTTCTCTCACTTTGTGTACTGTCATTTCACTTCCTTAAGAGTTTCTTTTGGTACAAAAGAAAAGAGTTCAATGTAATCCTATTTATCATTTTTTTCCCTGTGTGGTTAGCACTTTTTGTCTTGTGTTAAAAAAAAAAATTGCCTTCCCCAAGATTATTAAAAATATTCTGCTATGTTTTCTTTTGCAAATGTTATACTTTTGTCTTCACATACAGATCTAAAGTTCATCTATAATTGACTATTGTCTGTAGTGTAAGGTCGAGGTCAACATATAATATTGTGTGTGTGTGTGTGTGTGTGTGTGTGTGTGTGTGTGTGTGTGTAGAACGGAATAGTACTCTGACTCAAAGAGGAATGAAATTCTGCCATTTGCAGCAACAATTGATGAACTTAGAAAAACTTATGTTAAATGACATAAGCCAGACATAGAAAGAGAAATACTGCATGTCCTACTCATAAGTGGAGTAAAAACAAACAAAAAACAAAACAAATAAACAGAAAAAAAAGAAAGAAGGATACAAGAATCACAATAATCCACTGAACTTTCAAAAGAAGAGAATGGAACTGAGGCCACCAGTGCTGGGAAAGGGATGGATGTGGTTAGGGAGAAATTGGTTAAGGGCCACGAAAAATGATTACATTGTGCAATAATAAATATAGTAATAAAAAAGAATTAATCATTGTCTCTTTTCATTCACTTCACTATTATGTACCCGCCACAAACTTATCCCTAATCCCTCCACAATAAGTTTAAAGTTTCTCTGAATACTCCCCAACACACCATGTGTTTTCTCCATCTTGTCTTCTTGAAGGCGTCTCTCCTGGCACCTCTGTACTGCCTCAGTCTGGACCAATCGCTGCTTAGGCCCACTGCAGAGGTGCGCATAGGTTTTCCCTTCACCACCATCCTAAGATTGCCTCTATCCTTCGGTTTTGGGAATTTTTTCTTGAATTGTTTCTTTGATAATTTTTTCCCCTCCATTTTATATATTCTCTCTTTCTGAAACTTCTATTGTTTAGACATTGGACCTCCTGGATTAATGTAATCATTTTTCTAATAGTTTATATCTCTTTGACTTTTTGTTTTACTTTCTGGGAGATTGTCTCACCTTTGAGCCTTAGCCCTTTTATTGAAAGTTTCATTTCTACAATCACAGCATTTAATTTCAAAAACACTTTTCTTGTTCTCTGAATTTTTTTTTTTATAGCATCAGATTCTTGTTGTGTGGATGAAATATTCTCTTATTTTTCTGAGGATATTAAATTAAAAGTTTTAAAATTTTACTTTATTTTATTTTATTTTTTTATTTTTAATTTTTTCCTTTTTTGTCTTTTTTACTGACCAGTAACGGGATCGCAACCCTCGGTGTCACGCCCGTACTGGGGACCGGCAACGGGATCGCAACCCTCGGTGCTGCGCCCACACCTCGCTCAGCCAGTGAGCGGGAACCAGTCTCCACATGGGATCCGAACCCTCGGTGGGAGCGCCTCCACGCTCCCAAGCGGTGCACTCTCCAGTGCGCCCCCGGGCTGGCCCTCAGTGAGGTGTTTTTGTTTGTTTGTTTGTTTTTCCTGGCAGGGTGAGAGATTTAAAAGAAATTCAACAGTTTATCTGTCTGAATAATTCAAAGAAAATAGTCAGGAACTTTCTGAAAAGGAATACCAAGTAGGAACTTGCTTTGCTAGTCATTAAAACACTTTATAAAACTACAGTAGCAGTGCAGTATTGTATAGTAGGACACAAACAGAAGATGGAAAAGGCCAGAGTCCAGGAATAAATAACCACGTACATATGGGAATTTGACCTGTGACAAAGGAAACACTTCAAATTAGTGGGTAAAAAATGGATTATTCAACAAAAGGTGCTGGGCCAGTGGTTGGCCATTAGGGAGGAAACACAGCTGGATTCCTATCTCACTGCTTACACCTAAATGTGGTCTAGTAAAGATGAAACATTTCAGTGCAAAAATTTAAGTCATAAAAGTGCTAGAAGAAAATATCCGTTGATAATCTCAGGAAGGTGAGTGCCTTGCTAAGCATGGTGTGAAACTTTATAGGAAAGCTTGAAACTTCAAAAAAAATAAGACTCCCAAACAAGGAGGAAAGAAAAAAATATTAGGGAAAGTACTTTCAGCAGAGTTACCTGATAGAGAATTAGTGTAATATTTCTAAAATAAAGAGGAACACTTATAAATTAATTTTTAAAAGTCAAGCTTTACTCTAGGAAACAACAGGTAAAAAACATGTACAATCTGTAAAAGAAAAAATGCAAATGGCCAGTTTTTAGCATTTGAAAATATGTTCAGCCTTACTGGGAAGCAAAGAAATGTGAAATAATGGGATTTTTATTGTATGCTTGTTGTTCCGCACAAATGAAAAACATGGCAGTCCCCAGGGGATTAGTTATTTTCATGCATTGCTGGTGGGAGGATAAATAGATAAACTTTTTCTGGAGAGTTTGGTAATCTGTATCAAAATTAAATGCATATACTTTAGCAATCACTGATTATGTCTGAGAGGTAATTAAGGAGCATGCAAAGGATATACGAGGGTGTTATCAGCATTCTTTAAGACTGAAAATTGGAAACTGCTTAAATATTCTTTATAGGTAATGGGTTAAATAGTGGAAATCTATGAAGTCAGCAAGAAGCAGGTATATCCTAATCACTGACATAAAAAGATTTTTTTCTCCCACATATTGTGGACTGAAAAGGCAGATTGTGGAGCACTGAGTATTTACGTGTGTGCGTGTGTGTGTGTGTGTGTGTGTGTATTTGTGTATTTCGGGTGTGAGTGTATATATGTGCCCACATAGGTGTTCTCTAGAAGTTCATCACACTAAACAAGGATTATCTCTGGGTGGTAGGATTAGTGGGAAATTTTATTGTTGTCTTTATACTTTAGGGATTATTTAATAATGATAAATAGGAAGACAAATTAGAAAAATAGTATTGGTTGTGGTTCGTAGTATGCTGTGTGACATCTGAGTGAGTACTGTGATGTGCCTGAGAAGAGGTATTAACAAGGCTGTGCTTTTAGGTGATTAAGGCTGCAGAAGACAGCGCATTGCAGTACATGAACTTCATGAATGTCATCTTTGCAGCGCAGAAACAGGTGAATTGAGAGCCTTTTTTTAAAAGAATATTTGTTTCATAATGAAGAAATCAGTTTTTTTTTTTTTGTCCATCAGTTTCATTTTTTGAATAACCTACTCAGAAAGGTTTTCTGACTAAATAGCCTTATTAATAGATTAGGAATCCAGATTCCAAGTTTTGTACTAGTCATTTCTCTATTTTGGGTCATGACCCCTTGACAATCTGAGGGATCCCCAGAACAATGTGCACTCAAACACAGTTTTGCACATAGTGTCATGGAGTTCGGTTAACCCCTTTTAGCTCCACCTTGGACTCCAGACTAAGAATCCCTGGCTTGACAGTTTGCTGTAAAAACCTTGCCTCAGTTTCTCTCTTTACTTTAGTGATGTGTGTAAAGATTAGTATTTTTACTTTGCAAATAATTGAAATGTTCAGATGAATTATGACTGTGATACATTTTCTTCTTTGTTTTAAAAAAGAAAAAATGTTCTCAAAACTTCAGGTTTAATATAAAATGCTGCTGGTGCCATGCATAATGTTCTCCATCGTGGAGAAGCAGCACGATGTGGTGAAAAGAGTGCGGGCTCTGGACACAGGCAGTGGGATGACAGCTGCACTACCCACTGGCTCTGACCACAGCCTGTCCAAGTCCTGGGCACTTCAGCAGCAAAATTTAAATGAATATCTGCCTTACAGAGTTATTATGCACATTAAATGAGCTATTTTAAGAATGGAGTCTGGCACATAGTATGTTCTCAGTATAAGGTAGTCATTGTTGTTATTCCTATAATATTTTCCTAAAACGTTCCTTTCAGAATATTTTGATTGATGCCTGCGTTTTAGACTCAGATTCAGGACTCCTCCAACAGGTATGTTTTTAAAGAATGCTTACTGTTAGTGATTATGAAAATTAATACTTTCTATATCAATTACATGTTAAAATGATACTACTTTGGATACACAGAGTTAAATAAAGTATGTTATTAAAGCTAATGTGGGCTGGCTATTTAGCTTAGTTGGTTAGAGCGTGGTGTTATAACACCAAGGTGAAGTGTTTGGATCCCATACTGCCCAGCCACCAAAAATAAATAGATGAACCTAATGTTATTTGCTTTTTCCCCCCTTTTTAAGTATCTACTAGAAAGTTTTAAATTACATATAATGCTTGCATCATTTTCTGTTGTTTTCTATTTGTTTTCTGTTTGATGTTGCTTTTTAACCAGCGGTATGAAACTGAATTTTACTTTAACCTGAAAGGAAAAAATAACCTGAAATAAGGCTGAAGAAATTACTGAGCTTTTGATAAATGTGTTTTGGCCACAAGGAATATTATTTCCTAAAAGATCAATTGAAAGCACAAAACTGTGGAAAACCCTGAGTTTAGATTACTGCTGGGAATGAGGGGTGCGTAGAGAAGAGGGGATCCCATTGGAAAGTACACAGGCTTCCAGGGTTCTGGGATTGTCCTATTTCCAAAGCTTGATGGTAGGTACATGGTGTTCCTTTTATTTAAACCAGTTACATATTATGTACATAAACTCTTATACATGTATTCCATTATTGAAAAATAAAAATGTTGAATACATTTTTTAGCTGCATGTTTCAGTTTATAGAGTGTCTGTTAACTCCTGGAAGATCTGGTCTCTGCCATGACTTTAAAACCAGCTCTGCCTCCCTGACCCTCATGTTTCTATCTCTAGTCCAGTCCCAGCCTCTCCTCTGAGTTCCAGACTTGCATATTCAGCTGTGTACACAACATCTCCTTTTGGACATTTAGCAGGCATCTCAAACTTAGTATGTCCAAAACATAACTCTTGATTTTTCCATGTAGCCTCTTCCTCCCCCAGTGGCAACCTGGTGTAAGTGGCAGCGCAGGTCACTCAGCAGGGCACACCAAACACCTGACTCTTCCTTGTCTCTTCTCTTCCTCTCCTTTCCTGTCTGTTAGCAAATCCTATTGAGTCTGTCTTTAAAATTTATCCTGAATACCACCACCTGTCTTCTTCATAGCTACCGCTTAAGTAGGTGATTATAGTAGCCTGTTAACTGGTCTTTCTGTTTCCATGCTTACCCCCACCTGCCAAAGTTGGTTTTCAACACAGCAGTCAGAGTAAAGCTTTCAAAATATAACTTAGATCATGTCGCTCACTTGCTTAAAACCTTCCCATGGTATCCCATCATATGCCAACTGAAACCCAGAGTCCTTGGCACAGCCTTCTAGACTCCCCATGCTGAGGTTCCTAGAACACGGACCTCTTGGCCTCACATCTTGCTTTCTCTGCATCTTCTCGTCAGTGCACTGGCTCCTTGCTGCTGCCTGAAAACACAGGCCTGCTGAGGGCTAAGACTCTGCACTTGCTGTTCCCTCTGCTTCTCTGGCTCTTCCCTTGGGTGTTTTCATGGCCTACTCTGTGTCTTCATTCAGGTCTCTGCTTCTGTGTCACCTTCTCAGAGAAGCCTTCCCTGACCACCAGTGCCAGTGCCACTCCTTATCCCCTTATGCAACGTCTTTTTTTTCCATAGAAATGATCATAACCCATAACATTATTTCTGCATTTACCTATTCCACTAGAATGTCAGTTTCATGAGGATAAGACTGTCTTGTTTACTGCTGTAACCTCCAAGCCTGGAACAGGCACATGGTAGTGCTCCAGAAATAGTTGTTGAATGAGGAAATGAATCTCATCGTCCAGTTGAAGCAGAATTATACTATCAGAGGACCTCCAAGTTCCTAGGATCAGAACTAGGTCTTTCAGCATAACCTGAAGCACCAGCATGTCATAGTGGGAGAGCTAGGTTTATTAAATAAGTAGATGAAAGAATATTGGGAAAAATTCATTAAGATGGACAGGAAACCTTAATATAGGCAATTAGGGGACCTTAAATGTTTTGCATGTTTGGAAAACCACTTAGAAGATGGCAAGTGTATTGCTAGGGCTAGGGCTCCCAGACCCTATAAACCTGTTGTACAGGCTGAGTCACAAACCCCTCACCTGCAGGCCCATGAGCTAGGTAATAGGAAAAGATCCTGGAAGCTGTGAGGAAAAAAATTAATAGGCTTTATTCAGATGCAAGCTCAGCTAGCAGCAGCCGTCCTAGTGGCCTCCTGGGGCATCCAGAGGGCACTGTGTATCAGAGCCGCTCATCCTTTATACTTAAGTCCAATAACCAGGAAACACCTGGGCACACGTACATATTTACATCAAATGCTCGGCAAGACTCCAAACCCTTCGAAGGACCCTGACAAGTTATATTTACTTTCCCTACAGCAAGTTTTAAAAAAGAGGACCACATTCAAAAGAATGTATTTCTTTAAAGAGAACAGAGTAAAGCCACCTCACAGAGTTTCTTCTTATATAATGAAATTAATAAAATAAAATGAA